CAGATTAATAGCATCATTATATTTTATGAAGTCTTGGGGAATCAGTGTATTTTAATGTCAAAATAACAGTTGTACAGTCATGAAAAAAATTAAAATTAGCAACGAATCCTAACATTAATATTAAATTACTTACTTTGTACTTCTAAGTAGAAAAAAGTTTTTACCAGGACATCAATATTTTCATCTTTATACTATAAAAAATTTCTTAATATTGAATCATTTAGGCTGAAAAATAAAATATTCCAGCAATCAAAAATAATTTGTAAGTTCAATACATTTTAGGCTTCTAGTATATTTTCCGTCAATTGTAATTTTTGGTTATTCCTAGAGTATTTTACTGCACCTTATCATCACTACCTTATCATCCCTTATCATTTACCAGTTCTAAAAACCCGAGGTAGACTGAAACGTCACATTCCAGAGGATAGACTTCTCACCTGCCAATGAGGTGACCCGGGGTCGAATGTCAGCGATGGCTGGTCGATACGAATACCGCACCCTGCTCGCACTGACCACAATGCTAACATAAAATATCCTCAGAGGTAGACGGATCATGAGTTACCTTGCCATCAGGGTAACCTTGGAGGTTTCCTCTCCTCGTGACACAAATGAGGTATAGTTCCATCATAGTCCTCCACGTCCCAATGAGTGATCCAGGACTTCCTTTCTCTTCTGGGTTGGGCTCAAAATTACAAGGCTACCGAGTTGAACTCTGTTATTCATTAACTCAGCATTAGGTCTACTGTTCAGCTCCAGTTATAAAATAAAGTATAAATTATCTGATTAACGTTTCTGTAAATAATTAAAAATCTCTGTAGAAACCTAAGTATAAACATATAGAGTTAACGAAGCACAAATAGAGATGCATTTCTCTGACCTGCCCCAGAAGGGAGAGAAAAAACACAACACTGAATATACACACCGAAGAGCCATCACATTATGACCGCCCTGCTAATAACATGTAGGACCACCTTTAGCCCTCAAAACTGCTAGCACCCGCCGCCGCAAGGCCAAGACATGACTTGAAAGTCACTGGAATGTTCCTCGACGATTCGACCCTTATGACATGGTGCATTATCCTGATGGTAAACACCATCCCCCTCAGGAAAAACTGTTGCCATGAATGGGTGAACCTGGTCTGCAACTATGTTCAAGTAGCTTACAGACGT